TCATACAAATGATGTATCTAATTAATTGGTTTGGTAGTGTCGAATTTATTGATCAGTGTTGTTGAGGGGTATCCAGCCACTGTCACTACGAGTGAGTGAATGCTCAGAGACTCAGTGGTGGTCTTACTGTTTGCCCAGTACGGCTTGTAGTGATAGTGACTGCGTTGTTCTTACACCACCTAGCTGTCATATGTTGCATTCTACACATCACTGCATGTGTCGTACTCACACCTTCATGATGTGCTACATTCACACTGCTGTATGTTATAGTCTCTTGTCATTCCAGTAATCATTACATTCTGGCCAGCTCACTACACTGGCGCAGTGAACAGCTCAAGCAACTTGACGCTATGGCAAAGGGACGACCTCCGAAAGAATTTTCTCCTGGCTATGGTGGAGATACGGGCGCAGACTTCAATCTCTGGCTAGAAGATGTCGATGATTATATGAAGATCTGCCAAGTGACGGACCCAGGAGACAAGAAGTGCCTTTTCTTGAATCTCGCCGGTCTCAATGTCAGGAGGATCGTCAAAGGTTTAGTCGTTCCCGTTCCAGACGATGCAACTGACGATAACCCGGGAGACACTTACAAAGCCCTCACTGAGTCACTTCGTTGCCATTTTCGACCGTCCATCAATGCGACGTCAGAGCGGCACAAGTTTCGTCAGATTAGGCAGCTGCCGGACGAATCGGTTTCAACCTTCATGAGTCGGCTGAGAGAGAAAGTGGAACTGTGTAGTTTCGCATCGACAGATGTTGACACGGTAGTCAATACTCAAGTCCGCGACCAGTTAATTGCTGGATTGAGGTCGCAAGACTCGAGGCGCGAACTATTGAAGGAGCCTAAGCTGACTTTGGCGGATGCTCTCTCGAAGGCAGTTGCTATGGAAGCATCACTTTTGGACTCCAACTTGTACAACAGTGAACCAGGACCTAGTGTAGCAGCATGTGTGACGCCAGAGACCACAGCGGCTGTGTCAGGCAGTGAACCCAAGCACCAGCTCAAGAGGAAAATGACGAAAGGTCCTGGCTGCAAGTACTGTGGTCGAATGCATGCCAATGGAAAGCAGTTCTGCCCAGCAGCACATGTCCGTTGCAACAGCTGCAGGAAAGTTGGCCATTTCGAAGCGGTTTGTCTCTCACGCAAGCCTAACAAAGCCAATGCAGTAGATGCGGAGGAAGACAGTGACACTGCACAAGTGGTGTATGATTCTATTTTCGCGTGCAGCGATAAGGCAGCCAGAGGCCAGTTCACCATGACACTGATGGTGAATGGCAAGCCATGTGAGGGATTGCTTGACACCGGAGCAACACGCACCATTCTCACGGATGATGTGGTGCAGCCTACCCGCTCAAGTGACCGCATACTTCGAGCATACAACGGTGGCGAAGTGAAGACTCTTGGCATGGCGGACGTCGATATTGCTGTAGGAGACAACACCATTCTCTGTGAATGTTTCGTTGTACCGGCTGGCAAGCGTTCTGTATTGTTTGGACAAGATGTCATCTCACAATTGGAACTGCTTGTGAATGCACACATGGCAGATACAGCACGTCTTGTTGAAACTGCTCCAGTTTCTATCACTGTGGACAAGAGCGCTAGACCGGTAGCCCAACCAGCTCGCCGCCCTCCATTTAGCGCCAAAGCCGACATAGAAAAGGAGTTGGCACGCCTGGCTAAGGCTGACATCATTGAGCCCGTGAAGGAGGCATCGCCTTGGGTCTCGCCTGTTGTGCCTGTCCGTAAGTCTAACGGTACACTCCGGTTATGTGTGGATTATAGACAGCTGAATAAGTCCATCATTAGAGAACGCCATTCTCTCCCAACGGTAGACGAAATAACCAGCGAGTTAGCAGGAGCACAAGTATTCTCAGTGCTGGATGCTGAATCGGGATTCCACCAGCTGTTACTGGAGGAAGAATCACGATCGTTTACAACGTTTGCTTCACACTGTGGATCGTATCGATTCAAGAGACTGCCGTTTGGTATTTCATGCGCCCCCGAAATCTTTCAGCGAGTGGTGTCGGATATTCTAGTTGGCCTGCCGGGTGTTGTTGTCTACATAGATGACATATTGATTTTCGGAAGGAATCAAGTTGAGCATGATGCTCGCCTGGCGAGTGTCTTGGAACGCCTGAAGGCAGCGAACCTCAAGCTGAACTGGGCGAAATGTCACATTGGCAAAGACCAGGTCAAGTACCTGGGCCACACGTTGACCAGAGATGGAGTTCAGCCGGACAGCAGCAAGCTAAGCGCTATCGCCGACATGGCCGCCCCAAAGACTGTAGCGGATGCACACCGCTTCTTGGGTATGGTCACGTACTTAGGAAAGTTTGTTCCTCGCCTGACTGAAGCCACAGAGCCGTTACGCCAGCTGATGAAGCGTGAACCATTCACTGTGAACGATGATCTTCTCAAAGCGTTCTCCACAGCTAAGCAAGCTGTAGTCTCTTCATTGCAAACACTTGCATATTTCCAGCCGGATGTAAACGTACCGACAGCAATCAGCTCCGATGCCTCACCTTCTGGTCTGGGAGCTATTCTGTGGCAGCAAAGCAAGGCGGGACAATGGCTGCCCATTACATGCGCCAGCCGCACGCTCACGGACACAGAGTCCCGATATTCGCAGATGGAGCGCGAGATGCTCGGCATAGTGTTTGCACTGACCCGTTTTCGCCAGTATGTTCTGGGTCGTCATGTACAGGTGTACACTGATCACAAACCTCTCATACCGATTGTGCAGAAGGAATTTGACGATGTGCCGCCTCGATTGCAGCGCTGGTTAGTCGCGCTCATGCCGTACGATTACTCCCTCAAGCATGTTCCAGGGAAGGAGCTCTTCTGTACTGATGCACTTTCCAGAGCCCCGGTAGCGTCTACTGATGCTTCTCCAGCCGAATCGCGTTCTCTTCATGAGTATGTTGGCCTAGTTTTGGAAGCCGCTCCAGTAGGCATTGCAGACATTCGTTGTGCTGCACAAGATGATCCAGTAGTGAGCAAAGTGATTCAACGCGTACTGTATGATTCGTGGCTTGACATTTTGCCACCGGAGCACCCCTACTATCTCGTCCGTGATCAGCTGACAGTGGTAGATGGCATCTTAATGTTCGGTGGCAGATTCGTTATTCCTGAAGGTTTACGAACAGCGATCATGACCCTAGCACACGAAGGACATCCTGGACAAGAGGCCTTCCAAGACACCCTGCGCCAGAGAGTCTGGTGGCCAGGAATGACTAAGGATGCAAGCACATACGTGGAACGCTGCTCTGAATGCTGGAGGAGACGTACCAATAATGCGCAAGAGCTCCAACCAACTGAGGTTGTTGGCGTCTGGAGAAAGCTGGCAGTGGACATCGTATCCATTGAGGGGTACTCGATTCTCTCCATAGTCGATTATGGCTCCAGGTACCCTATTCTGAAGATAATGCGCTCGACAACCTCAGCTTCCGTCATCAATGAACTTGATGAGGTATTCTCTGCATTTGGTCTTCCCGAGACTTTAGTTTCGGACAACGGCCCTCAGTTTGTCTCTGGGGAGATGTCTTCATTTCTCAGCCGGCTTACAATTACACATGTACGATCCAGCCCAAGGTATGCCCGCTCGAATGGCATGGTGGAGCGTCTGCATCGAGTGTTAAGGGAGAGACTGTCTGCTCTTAAGCCACATCTCCCTTTCCAGAGGCGTCTTAACCAAGTGTTGTTTGACATTCGATGTTCGAGGCATAGAATGCTCGGTACATCACCAAGTGAAGCTTTGTTCTCTCGACCACTGCGTACAAGAGTCCCGGCACAACTCCACCCCACCGTTGTGAATCCCCAGCACCAGCTGAAAGCAAAAGCTGAAATGTCTGCACAACACGACTCCCGACGTGGCGTGAGAATGCTTTCTGAGCTTCGGCCCGGCACAAAAGTCACTGTGCAGGACGGGTACTGCGACAAGTCTCAGTCATGGACCGTGGTGAACCAGTTCGGCCGTCAGGTAGGAGTGACCGATGGCTCTCGCTACCTACTGAGGAATAGGCAGCATGTACGAGAGTTTGTTTCACCGCATCGCCCCAATGATTCTCCACCCATGTCGTCAGCGAACCCGTCTTTCAGCCGTCATGAGGTGGACCTTCAGCGAGCGCCAGCACAGGCGGCTCCTCGGATCGGTCAGCCATCAGTGCCGGAACCAGATAGAACCGGAACTGGACAGTCTGTTCGGATTGGTCAGTCTACAGTGCCAGGTGCTGTTTCGGCATGTCTACCGTCTGTGGATCTGCCTCCGGGCTCGCCATGCCACCACATGCCGCTCTCTCAACCTTCATCTGCACGTGGAAGCCAGCCTGCTCCGAAGGAACACACTCCAGCTGCTTCCGGCAAGCGCTCATTCGTCGATGGTGCAGTCACTCGCTCCGGACGGCATATCAAATTTACTGAGAAGGCACGGCTCTACGCAGACAGTTTATCCTAAAAGATTATTGCAACAATGCATCATACTCACTCTGAAAGTTCAACTTGTGTTTTTTTTTAAGTTGAGTTCCTATCTTCCTCCATTGGGTGCTTTGAAATTCAAAACTTCATATTGTGTTCTCTCTTCTTCTTCTCTTTTTAAATTCCTTCTATTGCTTTCCCCGGCACCGGCTTTTTGTTTGGGAGAAGGAGTGATGTAGTGATAGTGACTGCGTTGTTCTTACACCACCTAGCTGTCATATGTTGCATTCTACACATCACTGCATGTGTCGTACTCACACCTTCATGATGTGCTACATTCACACTGCTGTATGTTATAGTCTCTTGTCATTCCAGTAATCATTACATTCTGGCCAGCTCACTACACGGCTTACATTTTTATTGGCGTATCTCATCACCCTGGCCTGGCCCGCGTCCCCCCCCCCCCCCATTCTCTCTCTCTTTCTCTCTCTCGTCTCAACACAAACTATCTCTGCTGACTATCCCTGCTTCTTCTCTCTCTTTTTCCTTTACTGCAGAGAGCAAGCGTAAATTCCGACATGTATGTCTCTTCAATGATGCCATCTTGTGTGCCACACGGGCACGGACGAAAAATAAGAGGTATGTTGTGACGAATGGTATGCGCCACGGAGTCCTGGAATCTTGGCACACAATTCGCGGTCATTGTACCTGAATGATGTCTGTTTCAACTTTCAACCGGAGATCTGAAAGACCTACGCTGTCTCCTGCTATAGAATTCCCGGCCATGATCTGCTGGCCCCAAGTGCAGCACAGACTATGTAGCTATGGCAAGGGTGTGTAAATCGGTCCGGGTCCGAGGGTGGCTGACACTGGCAACCCTATGGGAAGGCCCACATCATTCACACTCCACTTGGCCATGGCACTTCCACAGCATAACTGGTGGAAGCAGTCTTTGATTGGTCCAGCCATACCGTAAGCATGGCTGTTCATACTTTGTTTATGATACGACAGGTCTGCATGACCTTCTTAGCAGTAAACATCATAAGCCCATTGTGCATTACCAGACATGGAAGATATGAGTAATTCATGTGAGTACGCTGGGATCTGCAATGCACTGTTCAACACCCCAGACGACCATGCCCAGGTGGCTGTGTGGGGTGTTGATGGTGCAAATTACGTCATTGGGCAATGGGCTTATTTGGTGGCCAAACACACTCGGTGTGACCATGGCCTGAGCAACTGGACCAGTTCCACCTGGCCTGCCACTCTCTGATGCTTCCACTCTCTGATGTACAGTTGTACAAATGATGTTGCTGGAATCACATTGGACATCTTTAAAAGCCCAGTGTTTGTCGCTCTATTGGCCATGCTGTTTTAGCTATGCTATAAAAGTATAATAGTTGCCTTCCGGCATTTTACAATGTACTGTGTGTGTGCGCGTGCGTTTGTGCACGTGTGTGTGTGTGTGTCCTGTTGTTATTGCTGCTGTTTGCTGTAATACAGTAGCTCACAATGTCCACACGACTGCAAGTGGTTCTTGCCTCTAGAGGAGCTGACGTGGCATCCACTCCAGGATGTGTCCATGGACCGTAAGTCACGGTCGTTCAATGTCCTTTCTGCCCGTACACGTGTGTGGGTGTGGGTGGATGGGTGTGCACGAGCGGATGCGTGTATTGGGGGTCAGTGGTGGTGGTGGTGGTGGTGGTGGTGGTGGTGGTGGTGGTGGTGGTGGTGGGGGTATGTATTGTATGGTTGGCATCACCAGTAGGTTGGGGCCGTGCAAGTCTTCTGTGTCATTAGGCACAATAGCAACTGTACTAGGGTTTAACCTGGCTTTGTATCTCTTGTAAGTTTTGCTAGATACTACGGTCACATGATCACCTGATGATGTACTCATAGTCTAATACCTAACCGATGGGTTGCGCATGTATGCACGCTTGTATGTCCTCTGTGTGCATGTGCGTGCCTGTGTGTGTGCCTGTGCCTGTGTGTGTCTGTGCCTGTGTTTGTCTGTCTGTCTGTGTATGTGTCTGTCTGTCTGTCTGTGCATGTGTGTATGTGTATCTGTCTGTGTCCATGTGTGTGTGTGTTCACAGCCATCATACCAGTCACACCAACGACGGCAGCGGAGATCAGCCAGTGCCATAGCAAGATTAACAAGTTAAAAGGCGAACTCAAGCACAGCGAAGCGGTAAGCAGCCTCTACCATTCCATGCATCTCTCTCCTTGTCTTCTACAGTCGTGGCCACAGAACTCTGACCCATGTGCCAAAAGCAACAGCACAGCATATGCTGCAGCCATGCGGCTCTCGCATGGGTGTTTAGAACCTTGCACTGTGTAATGGAAATGAAGACACGGCGCAACTTTTGCCTCATGGGTCGGATTTCTTTGACCACGGCTGTGTAGTGGTGTGAGTTTACAGAGTGTAATGTATTACCTTCAAGTGCTAATGCTCTGGTGTGGCATTGCGTTACCTTAGTTATACATTGGCACCACACGTTATCATATACCACTCATATCATGTCACACCTATATCATGTCACACCTACAGTTGCGCTCGGTGAAATCCGGCCCGAAGTGCATAACTGGCGCCCAGTACTGATGCGGCCCTTGACGCCCTCAAAGTTGTACAAGTGCTAGTGTGCACGTGTGCCGTATGAACTGTGCATGTGCTGTACTCATACGCATGCATGCTTACACCAAAGTGTAAATAACCGCGCCAAACAAAGACAAGTAACATTCATTTCAGTTCAGCACAAGTAAAGAAGACGGAGATCGTTTCGAAGCAGTTTATTTCATACACAGAGCAGCAGGGCTTCCATATTTTGTGTGGCCACCGTCTGCTCGATTAGGGCTTCAACACGACGTGGCATTGACTCCACGTATGGGGAAACCGTGTCAGGAGCCAACGAATCCCACTCCAGGTGCAGTGCCTGCACCAGCTGGTCAGCATTCTCGCAGCGATGTGGAATTATTCTCATCTTGAGAAGAGCCCACACATTGGGAATGGCCATGTCCTTCTCTATCTCTTCTTGATTTTGAACTGTTTTTAGCATGCAACACGTGCACTCCTAACTTTTACACGA